TGGGTTCTTTTTTTTTTTTCGCGTCGACCAACTTTGCGGCGCCTCTGGTTTGCACCACCCCAGCCATATCTTTGATTGCTAAGACATGAGTACCCACTTTGACTAGCTCGTCCGCCAAGTCGGTATAATATTTCAAGTTATATTTGGTACGATTCGGATCGCTTACATCACCCGTGTAGGAAATCGCCGCTTCAACGATACCTCCAGCATTTCCAGCAGCTTCCATACCTGAAAAAAAATTCACGCTCAGAGAAGAAATGTTTACACGAAAATATTCCCATAGTTTACGAAACGACTTTACAAAATAAGTAATGTGAATACACAACTTAGTAACGAAAAAAGTCTTATCATACAATCTGAACTGGATCTTAATATTTTAATAATATTTTGGTATGAATTTATATATATATATATATATATATATACAAACTGTACGCCGAAATCATTTTCAGTTTTGAAATGCAATCTTAAACCGAAATGGGGCAATAATATCACAAATTAAATTCATAAGCAATTTATTGATATTGATGCTACTAAACATTTGAAAAAGGAATATTTCGATAATGTTTCCTTGTTGGTTGCATTATAGTTATATGTATAATTAGGTCGTTTTACAAAAACTTACCAACGATAAGATTCGGCAAGTAATTGAGCGAGTCAAATACTCTGAAAATGTCCATTCCGGTTTTCACAGCCAGTTCACAGAACTTGAAGACGACGTTATCAGGATAGTTCGTATACCCGACAGCGTTAGCGCCTCTAAGTAACATTTGGAATGGAATATTAGGGATAGCCTTGCGCATATCTTCCAGCCGTTCCCAAGGGCACTCGTGAAGAAACCTTAAAGCCACATCAAAGGTCGCACCGCCCCAGTTCTCCAGCGAATAGAGATTGTTGAATTTGTGGGCGACGAATGGTGAGATCATCAGCAAATCGTGCGATCGTACACGAGTCGCTAAGAGGGATTGATGGGCATCACGGAATGTAGTGTCCATCAAAAGAAGACCCTTGTGCTGTCTAATAGTTCTAGCGAAAGCTTCCGGACCTTGCTCTTTATAAATATGTCGGAATCCTTTCGGAGGATTCAGAGGTTCTGAAAAGGAGCGCACAAGAAGATTAGTTTGATGCTTTTTTTAAAAGAACGGATTGTTATTTGGTACGTGCTGTTGTTAGTAGGCATGAAAAGCGGTGAAGTATAGATATTTATCATTGATAAAAGATAAGAATAAGAAACAAATCATTTATAAAGTATAAATGTGTTTAATTATTTACTTAATATTTATATTTGAGTTGTATTAATAATGGGGATTTATAAATATTTTAAAAGACATTTTTTATTTTTTTAAATAAATTTAATTTAAAATTAAATTAATTAATTTGAATTAAATATTTATTGTGTTGATTATTTGCTATTAATGCTTTTATGCAGGGTGTCCCATAAGTGTGTAAATAGAGCGGACTAAACCATTTTGCAATTTTCGCAATAATTAACAAGTAAAAATTGATCTTCAATAATTTTATATTCAAATATTATCAACTTTACAGAAAAACAGCGAGAGACAAAAATTATTTATTTTCTTCTCAAGTTCTGAGAATTTTTTCAGAATTTTTTAATACCGTATTTTCTCATGTTAATAAAAATAAGAAAGTGCAGTACTAAAAAGTTGAAAAAAAGTTCCGAAAAAATTTTTAGAGTTTATATGAGAAGAAAATTAATGATTTTTGTCTGTTACAGTTTTTCTGTAAAGTTAATAGTTTCTTTGAGTAAAAAATTATTGAAGACCAATATTCAACAATTTTTAGTAATTAATATCTTGTTAATTATTGCAAAAATTGCAAAATGGTAGAAGACTTTTCAATTGAATCCATTCTACTCAAGAGCGCTTGGCAAAAACTTAGGAAACCCTGTGTATATAAATGAAATTATATAAAAAACATTAAATATCGAATAAAAATTCTCGCGTTATTACATTAAGTATTATACTTTAAATATTATTGCATTATTAAATATATTTTTTTCATTTTGAAAATTCAAAACTTAGAATAAGAAAATATTTTATAAGACAGGCATAGCATTTGCAAATTAATATATCGCTATGAATTAAATAATAAATTAATATTTTAATAATGCAGCAGTATATATTTATATTATTGTTAATAGCATTATTATATAATAGCTCATTTAATATTGGTACATTTAATATATTTAATTAATTAATTAAATTTAGAAAAACTTGTTTAGAATAAATTCCAATAAACAAATGTCTGCCAATCTGAAAGAACAATAACAAATTAAAAAAAAATTCGTTTATATTATATATACAAAATTTGTTATACTGTACCAGTTTTTAGCTTCTTTCAATCTTCACAATGCTAAATCTTAAAATAATATAAATAAAAAAGGCATTACATATATGTAACACTGTAACCATACCTGGTGCGTCGGGATCATTGGTTTCTTCTGCAGCTGCAAGCTTAGCAAAGTCTAAAAAAATTGTCAAACAAAAAAATAAAAGCATGCGATAAAGAGTGAAGAGTGTAAAAGAGGGAAATTAATATTTAAAGATGTAAGTCACTATCCTAAGAATATGACAATGAATCTTTAAGAGACAAAGATTTTTGGGATTTGTCTCGATGATTTATTGAATTTATCTCGGGATTTATTGAATTTATCCCATGTGTAAACGTATAGCGTATACCGGCGATATACTTTAAATATAAGTGATTTTTTTTTATTTTAATGCGAATAAAATATTGAATTATTTGAATTTTCAAGTAATACTAATCAGTAAAACAGCATGCTGTATTATTACTTGTTAAAATAATGACAATAAGTAGAGACATATGAAGATGTTTCGTGAGCCCATTTACGAATTCGCGCGTAATGTGCAGTGTGCTTAATGTAGCGCGGTGCAATAATTATGGAATTTAGACACAAGAACACACCAAAAAGAAAAAAAGTAGATTTTTAGAACGGTTAAATCGAGTGTCCCTATAAACCCAGCAGAAAAGCGTAAATAGTTTGTTATAAGCAAAAAGGATGTTTACTATTTATTGTGTGAATATCATATTTCAAAATTATTATTTTAAGCTGTTGGTTTGCGTATATATGGGGCATATATATAATATATATCTATACGCAGTATCAATGTGAGACAGTTGTCTCTAGTATCGTGATTCAACATTATTGTTTGCCTTTATTTAAGTCATTAATTATTGATTAATGAAATTCAATAAAAAATAATGTAATTCTTAAGTATGTAAAGTCAAGTGTTTATAAATTTGTAAGGATTTTAAACGAAGGAGAAATCTTATTATGTATTAGAAAACATTAAATTATTTCTTTAGTCATTTGTTAATCTTCAATTACTTCAACGATTCATAAACATATACAGGGCATCTATCTGGAAACTAAATCGGAATGGATTCTGATCGGAATTATTCCGTTTTTTTCCCAGAAAATAGATAGTTCCCAGACAATAAAAATATAGGAAATAATTGAATAATTCCGATCAGAAATCCATTTCGATTTTGTTTCATAAAAGGTGCCCATGTTATTAGGTGTTGGAATTAATTCGTAGCGTTTTACAAGTGATGGGAAGTACTTTCATTAATGTATTTTTTAATGCTCATGTGAAATAAATAACATTCTTTCATTTAAAAACGCTACGAATTAATTCCAACACCTAATAATTTACAGCAATCTTTATGTAAACGTTAATCTAATCAGAGAATTAGTAGACATCTTGTTTAATAAAAAAATAAAAAAAAGGAAAATATATAATCCCTGTTTTGCTGATCCATAAAAGCACGTCCTCTGTACGCCTCTGTTCTAAGTATGACTAGAGTAATTTTCTCACTTAACGTGGACAGTATTTAATTAAATTATCAATATCGAAATTTAATAGGATTGAGATTCCAATTATCGAAATTTTTTTATGATATGGAGTTTAAAGGTTATGTCACCCCCAATTATTGCATTCGTTGGTAACCGATCGTGTACCTAGAGCAATCTGCGGAATATGCGGTTTGATGTCCGCTGGTTTCAGTTGAGTAGCTAATGGCGTGCTTGGGCCATTCACCAGGACGGTACCGAGGTAATTGAGTAATTTCTGGGCTCGATTCTGACTCGGCTGCAACTGGAAAAGCTGAGGATGCTCGTCGATAAAATATGTATCGACAATACCGTTGAGAAACTTTTGATTTTCCAGGACATTTAGTAGAAAAGGTATATTTGTCTTTACTCCTCGCACGCGGAATTCGCGAAGCGCTCGATTCATTTTGGCGCAGGATGACGGAAGATCACTGGCGTGGGCGATTACCTGAGAAAATATATTATTTATTCTTTAAATACAGTCTCTAAATTCTTTGAAGTGAAATCTCACTCTAAAAAGTGAACATTGAGTCAGTCTTGAAAGAATGGTTCAATTTTCAATCTTTAATGCCCATTTCCACCAACGTAGATTAACTTTAATCTCTTAGAAAAAGATGAAGAGTAAGTTGAACCGAGATTAAAGTTAATCTACATTGGTAGAAATAGGCATAAGAGTAAGATTCACTCTAAAAGTTTTAAAAAGTGGATAGGGTGATACAATTTCGAATATGGTATAATTCTGAAATTCTGAAAATAGTTTATTTTTTCGAGATTCAAGTTTGGTAACTATATAATCTTCTTATTGAAGTTGTGCCAAACAGAAAAAAATCAAACTTGGACTTCGAAAGTTGGATTCAATTTTATTTCGTTCAGAATCGTATTGTACTATGTTCGAAATTGTATCTTAATATTGTAAATGAGTTAAAAGTCTTTGCAATTAGGATCTTTATTATACCTTAACAAGTAGGGAATCATAATACGGTGAGATTATAGCACCAGCGAATGCGGAGGCTCCATCCAATCGGATGCCCATACCTTCGCCAGAACGAAAAACTTCTATTCTTCCAGTATCCGGTTGAAAATTCTTAGCCGGATCTTCCGTGGTCACTCGACATTGAATCGCGAATCCTTGAGGTATGATTTTGTCTTGCGTCATACCGAGTTCTGGTAGTGTCATCCCCTCGGCAATTCGAATTTGGGATTGCACGAGATCGATTCTGAAAGAATGAAAATAACAAAGTGACATGTAATAATTGATGCTTGTAAAACGTCGCGCATATTAATGTTTAAACAAATTATTAACGATTTAATCAGAGAATGGAAATAACGCGTTACTTGTAACGTCTATTACAAGTTTTTTTTTTTATAACGGGTTGGCGAAAGTGTTATCTTTGGAGAATCAGTAACTAATAACAGTACACTCAGAGAAAAAAGTTATATCAGTAATTATAAATTTGTAATGAAATAGCGCCTCAACTATATATGTATAATATTATTAAATTCTAATAAGAATACTAGATTAAGTGAACTAAGAAAATATAGTAACATTAACTATATCATCAATTACAAATAGTTAAGATTACTATATTTTCTTAATTCACTTAATTTATTTATTGTTTTTATTAAAGCTTTATAATGTATACATAGTTACAAATTTGTGTATGCATTTCTTATTTATTTTTGTTTTCCAAGTTCGAAACCAATGTTGCGCCTTTTATTGTAAGCTGAATGAAACTTTACAGAAAAGTATGTAATGTATTCTTTAAAGTTATCTCAACAATGATTAGTTACATGATATAAAGTGCTTTATTAAAAAAAAATTTTTGTCTAAACTAGAAAAATGTAATTGTTATATCTATTTGCATGAAATTCAAGTAACTACTCAATGTAGTTGAGTCACTATTTCACTACTAATTAATAGTGCATACATTTGTTACCGTGACTATATTTTTATAACATTCAGCACTTCAGTTTCTATTACTTTATAAAAGTTACTACTAGTTAACAGGTACTTCAATTGCAAAAGTTACCAAATTTATAGTTGCCAGAATTATTTCGTTTTCTCTCAGTATAACGATATAGTTACTTTTAAAAAATAATTTTCTATTTTCTACATTTAATTATTTAAAAAAAGTAAAAGAGAAAATGACGAAAAAATATGTAGATTTATCGTTTTTTATGTTTATTTCATTACCCTGTTATTTCCTCGGTTACTGTGTGTTCAACTTGTAATCTGGCATTGACTTCAATAAAGTAGAAATTTCCAGATTCATCAACCAAGAATTCCACAGTACCGGCATTTGAATAACCAACATATTTTGCCAATTTGACGGCATAGTCAGTCATTTTCTCTCGAACCTTAGGCGACAATGCTGGAGCTGGCGCAATCTCGACAACCTGCGTATTTTATGAAAGTAATAAAATTTTGATATTCAAGTTTTTATATCAATCTTCGTGTGATATTACATTCATAATGCAGAAATGCAATATAATATAATAGGCTTGTTTGGATCATATTTTACGATATATAGATATTATTTATTTTGAGAACTTATATAAACCTGCGCACTACAATCATGAATCTCATGTAGTTGCGTCATTGTCCTTATTTCGAATAAGACGAACGAACGCCATTGCAGTGAATGTACATTGCTTTTAGAATTCACGCATCCTTGAGAAAGTCTTGAGGAGAAAAAAACTCGACAAATTCTAATTTATTCGCAGAATGAAGAAATTGATCAAACTAAAAACTCTTATGTTTAGCGAATAATAATTTTAACATATAGTTAGCGAATAACAATTTTAACATATCTTACATCTTGACACAATATCTACATATAATGCTATTCCTTAAAATAGAAATAAAAATCTATTTGACAGATTTAAATGAGAACAGCAAATTCCACTATTCTCTCTTAATAATATTATTATATATTAATTATTGAATATTATATTTAATAATCAATATTCCAATCATGTTTTAACTGATTGTTACATGTACTAAATTAAAATTAATCAGAGTACTGACCTTTTGATGACGACGCTGCACGGAACAATCGCGTTCATATAAATGTACAACATTGCCAGCATGATCTCCAAGTAATTGAACTTCAATATGACGTGGTCTCTCAATGAATTTCTCAATGAACATTGCGCCATTTCCAAAAGCAGCCGCCGCTTCGGAAGATGCACGATCGAACATCTCACGAACCTCTTCCATTTGTCTTACAACTCTCATACCTATAAAAAATAATTAAGATTTGATTTCAACGTTGTTCGAAAGAAGATTCGAATAGAGCTAAAACATGTAAACATTGCTCGTATTATATTAACTAAAAAAATTTTTTAGCTCATCTAAAATCGTACACTGCTTCTTAATTGCCTTTCTTGTTTCGATCTTTTTTTTTTCTGATATCTATACAATGACAACATTTTTTAATAATGTCACATTTGCATACGTATATAATTAATTTTAAGGAACATTGACAGAGTTTCATAAAACTTAAATCTATTCCTTAAATATTAGTCAATAAAATCGAAATTTTCATCTTTAATATACAATATGTATCTTACGAATTAACGCTAACTATGAAATTATTTTATTATGTCAAAGTAATTAATAAATTTAGCATGCAAACTATCTATGGCTGCGTTTACCGTGCGCTTAGTCCGCGACCTATACGATATGTGCCTTGTTTAACAGGATAAATAAGGATGCCTATTGTATAGGTCGCTGATTAGAAGCGTATGGTGTAAACTCAGCCTATTTCTCTTCTATTAAAAAATATAGTAACAAATACATCATGAACATTTAAAATTTATAAAATTATACTGATATGACAGATAATACGAAGAAAATATTTTTCTATTTTGTAAACAAAAAATAAAACATATACATACGTTGGCACATCAAGAATGGACCAAGACATGGAGAAAATCCGCGAAGCACAGATTAGTTATATATACATAACATATTTATAACATATTTATTTATCATAACATATTTATTATTATTATTATTCTCTCTCTCTCTCTCTCTCTCTCTCTCTCTCTCTCTTGCTCTCTCTCTCTCGATAAAGTAATTCATAATTTGATAGCCTATATATGTGTTACTAAAAAATTTTATTTTAACAAATATGAAATTTTAATTATATTAAAAAAACACATCATTTCCAAATTATTGCAACATTACTATAATTAAAAAAATTTTTTTTAGATATTTTACGTAACATACACTTAAATATTATAACATAGTTAAATACCTATTATTAGGTTATGCATTTTTGTCCAACAGACTCTGTAAGTCGTTTTGTCATAAAGTTAGTTGAGTGTCGATAATATTTGCATTGTTCGATAACGAATAGACGCGTTTTTCAAACACGTAAAATATTATTCAATGGAAAAAAACATTCTTTGTTCATATGATATACATTTACGATCTTAGCATTGGCTATAGCCAATTGTGTTACTTTATGGTAAATTTAGCTTACGTATGAATAACGTGTATGTAATATTAGGTGTTGGAATTAATTCGTAGCGTTTTTAATGAAAGAATGTTATTTATTTCACATGAGCATTAAAAAATACATTAATGAAAGTACTTCCCATCACTTGTAAAACGCTACGAATTAATTCCAACACCTAATATTTCAATTTTTATAGCAATTTTGCGATGTTGCTAATATTTCTTTAAGTAAATTAAAACGCTATGACTGTGTATTAATTTTCGATGTCTTAGACATACCTCGTCCTCCACCTCCATATGCTGCCTTAAAGATAACCGGAAGACCGTGCTTCATGCAAAACTCTATCGCCTCATCAGAACTTGTTACAGGCCCATCTGTTCCCGGAACGATGGGTACTCCAGCTTGAATTGCAGCTTGTCTGGCAGCCACCTATCAATTAAATTGTATTATATTGTGTCTTGATTACAAGATTGTTGGAGAATTTTATAACTAAAATTTTATAATCAAAGTCATTTCTAGAATATTATGTCTGTGGTGAGCAGTTCTATAAATTTTCAATGTTTTATATTACTGTGCTTAGGAATTTTAAATCCAAAACATAACAATTTGCCAATAAAAATATAAGTATTTAAAACTCGAACGGGCAAGTGAGAATAGCTCCGCGGTTTGTTTTTTGCGTTTTCTTTATTCTTCAATTTCTTACATTAGTCTCGTACGTTTCAGCTCATTTCGAGTCATCTTCAATGAATAATCTTCAACAATTGAATGTTCGTACTTAACTGTTTCGCATAGTATTCATTACTGGTTCGTAACGGATATAATAATATTCTACCTTGTCTCCCATTTGTTGGACGACTTTAGGACTAGGTCCAATAAATCTGATGCCTGCATTAGTAATCGCTTGAGCAAAGTCTGCTCTCTCAGAAAGGAATCCATAACCAGGATGTATGGCGTCGACATTGTTTTCTTTAGCTACTTGAATAATCTCAGGAATATTTAAGTAAGCTTGAACGGGTGGTAATCCTTTGCCCACTAAATAACCTTCGTCTGCTTTCTGACGGTGCATCTGCATTTTATCTTGCTCCGAGTAAATTGCTACGGAGCGAATGCGAACAAGCACGAAATACACGAACGGCAATTTCTCCTGAAATATTATATTTATAAGTTAAAATTTTACACAAAATTATAAAAAAACGATATGACTTAAAATTGGATATTATAGTGCCTGTTTTATGAATTTTTTGTTATAGTTTTATTATAATTGTATTTTCAAAACTGGCTAATATATTTAATATTGAAAATTAAGAAAATGAAGAAAAGATGATCTTTAATAAAATTTTTGTTAGAGAAAATTAATTTCAGTTTGTTTAACTTATCTTAAAAAATTTTATATAGACAATAATATTTTGAAAAGTATATGCATATAAAAATTTTTGAAAATGAGTTAAACAAATTGAATTTAATTATCTCGAAAGATTATTTTTATTTTTTTTAAATATTAATGTTCATATGAATATTTAAAATAATTCCAAAACATTTTTTATTAGTCACATAACAGATTTAGAATGGCAATATACAATAAATAGAAATATGTGAGCCATGGGGAGTTCATTGAAATGTTTTACGATTACAATATAAGAAAATTATGAAAATTATACGGTTTAATTTAATGGAGTGCCTAAGATATACTCGATTCTCGATCCTACATAAAGAACAACGTTGTTCTCATATTGATTAATCACACAACCTTATCCTATAAAAATCAACAAGTTATTGATAGCATTCATTAATCCATCAATTCAAGCAACGTCGATATATCATACTCAGTGAAAGTAATGATGATTGCTTTCAATAAAAGTAGCAATTATTTGAAATATGTATTAATTCTTTTCTACTACTTCCTTAACCTATTATTAACAAATTTCTATATATACGTTACAAGTAAAATACACAGTACATTTTTTATTGAAAAATACAATAAAATAAGAAAGGCCCAAAATATAATTATATATAGCGTTTGTAATTTATTAAAATATTAAATAATAATGAAGTATTAATAACACCAAATTGTCATTGACAAGCGTGTTAATGAGTTTATAATATTATATTATCAAGAATGAATTTGTAATTATGCACGTCATATACCGTTGTCTTATCTGTTTTCTTCACGAGATATATATTTCTTTATCTTTCATATCCTTTGTAGAAAAAAATTTTAATAATTTATATTAAATATTTAGTTAACAATTAATATTTATTAAACTTATAGAATATTTAGCTACAAAAAATACTGTAATAAACATATATTAAAATATTGAAATATTTTCTTTCTTTTTAATTCAGTTTAAAATATTTTTTATATTATTTGATATATATAATAATAATGATGTTACCAAAAGTTAATAACAATTTACTCACCTCGATTGGCAACGAGGACACTTCTGATTGGTCTGTATTCTACATCTGTGGTAAAATATTTCGTGGCAATTTTCCATATTTGTAACACAGTTTTATGTTTATTTAGTGCCCGATGAGCACACATGGAATGCATTTTGTTAGTTGTTTTTATTAAGCGTTCGCACAGTGTGTATTCACAGAATTATTCTTCGTTACTTTTGTTCGAGAATAGCGTAAAAAAAAAAGCTAAAAGATAAACTTCTGCACTTTATCTTCTTAAAATGAATTATTTGCCTATTGAAATTGTTTAGGTTGGTTTAAATATTTTTTTCAAATTAACTCTCGCGTTTTAAGCCACTTTTCGTTTCTATCTCGGTCTTCGTTCGAGTTCAAATTCCAATATCTTGGTCTTCGTATAATAATTATGTCTTTTGGAGTTATCGCTAGATAAGCAGCTTCCACTTTGTCAGAATATTCGTTCTATGGCATAGTTTTTATCATATATTTAAATCGTTTTCTTGTTTGTTTCCCTGATAACACTTTGGTATCCTTCAATTATTTTTGATATTTCTAAAACAGATAAATTCCATTTTCTTTTAGTACAGTTATCACAGTAATTATTCTCTAAGTTATAAGATTATTACGAATTAAATTAACAAGCGACAAATTAAAAACTGAATTTGTTTACACTGAGAGAAAGGATTTTGAATTTAATGAGCCAACAGTACCTTCAGTATCCAAGTGATCGGTAAATATGTCGGACAACAAATTTTGTTTGTTGTGATTGCTGCTAGCTGTGATCTGCTATATAACAACCAATTATTAGTAACAGAAGCAAACTATATAGAATCTAACCTATTTTTTGGATTGACTTTAGACTCGTTTACATAGAAATCGTAGATGATCGTGGAGTCTTAAATCGTAGGAAACTGACCAAACACGTCAGTATAGGGAAAATATTTAACTAAAATTAGTCAATTTCTTGCAATTTGAGACCCTGCAACCTTTAAAAACGCTACGAATTAATTCCAACACCTAATATATAGCGATACTATTGATTATTTATTATATTGACGAACTAATTTGCAATCATAACAAATCAATCGTTTTTTAAAAAAATATCATTTGTTTTTCCTTGATTTGTTCCAATAACAAAATCATTTCTCTCAGTGTACAACAAAGATAATCTGTCTTTTTGAAGAATACAGATTTGTCTTCAATATATTGAAATATCAAGACAAACTTCTTATTATTAAAGAAATAATATAAAATTAATAAGCGATCAAATCTGTGAAAGATCGAAAAGATCGTAACACTTGCTTTATCCGCAAATTGGCTCATTGACACATCTGTGACATTGAGCGTAATACTGCATCGGATAAGCTGCGCATCTAAATTAGAGCGATAGAATAGTATTCACTTACTACGTATGATACATCATATAGCATTTGTTGATTTATGTTTTCGATATGCCAGCCAACTGTTGGAGTCATGTGCAATATTTGCATTACTTAGGGCTGATTGTTCCATCTTCGGATAAACTATTAGGTGTTGGAATTAATTCGTAGCGTTTTACAAGTGATGGGAAGTACTTTCATTAATGTATTTTTTAATGCTCATGTGAAATAAATAACATTCTTTCATTAAAAACGCTACGAATTAATTCCAACACCTAATATATGATCATTTACCTATTGGATAAACAAAAGAGCAAAACAATAAGAGCATAAGAGAGTAAAAAAGTAAGCTGAAGTTTACCGAAAGATGAAACAACCATCCAGCCTTACTTACTGTATAGAAAATACGCAGCATAAAGATAATCTAGCGGAAATTTCAGACTTTATGTTAAGTGTATAATTTATAGATTGAATTAAACATATCATAAATAAATTATTGCTGCGTACATCAATTGATGCACACAGAAGTAAAAAATTTGATATTTTTTATGCCATAAATTTATCACTCGTTCATTCCAAGAGAAATGTTTAACAAAATATATTTTACGAAGAAAGAAATTATTAAAAGAAATTATTTAGAAAAGATTATGTGACGTAAAATATAATTTTTTATATACATTCAGAATGTGTTTAGATAATATTGCACTAGTTTATGATGACAATTATGCATTCTGCATCGACATGATTAATGGTCAACGATCATTCATGCAATAATATTGTGTTTCATGGCTTCGACATAAAAACAGCTGTTTGAAATTCTTTTTCATGATAAAAAATATTTTTATGAGTTAATTATCACAAATATGTTTTATGTCCTGTAATGACGTAGAACATGTTAACATGTCAATCAAAAATCGTCATGCGGTAAATTGATCAAATAGGTATATCATGGAAATAATGAAAATCAATTTATAATTTTTACTAATTCGTATCACTGGTTTTTGCTTATATTATTGTTTATATCTCATAAAAAATAAAGGTATCTACGAACAAATGACTGATGTCAGATAAATATGTAGTGTACCGAGAGATTACTCACGAGATTACTTACAATGCGATGTAAAACTGCGACGTAATTACAAGTCAGTAAGGTAAAATCGTTTCGTTTGAATAAACTCTGCCATTTGCTAAATATCGCGATAACAGAAATGCAAAGAAACGGAGTAATTTAATTGACCGAATATTAATTTAGCATACAGTAAATTGATAATTATAGAACTATATTAAAAGAATTATTTAGATCAAAATATTTTTTAGCATTTTTAATTAAGTATACATAAAAATTTACAATTAATTACGAAATTTTTATTCATATTTTTAACAAGTATGTATTTGTCTGAACGTTTTATTTGCTAAATATTTACTTTATATAAAATTTAGCTGATTACACTTATTTGATTTAGTTGATTTACTATTTAAAGCAATAATAATATGTTACGTTAGCTTATCAGACGAAAGATATTTTAATAGAGTGTTAGTTAAATATCTTTCAATATACCAAACATATTGAATACAATTTACAAAGCAGCTCATAACAGTATTTTTATGCATAATAAACGTATACATATATCATCATTATCTATATTATGAAACCATATAAGGAAATAGAATTTATTTTCTTCTCTCCAGACATCGGTTATTCATATCGTCAAGTCGGTTTGTTATATGTTGATATACGTGATAACAAGAGAAAATGGCGCTTTTAACACGAATTGCCGGAAAATCACTTATCACGTCGATAAGACGCACATTTGCATATCAATGGAATGCATTCATAATAATTGTCACTTGTAATTATAATACGAATTATGTATTCGCTTCGATGTCTCGTCTGCCATCAACGGAAGAAACTCTTGAGTTATGAATATAAATTTGTCATCGATGACTGAGTATAATCAGGGAATTCTAAAATGTTATATATGTTTTATATGTTTTATATGTTATATATGTTTTATCAAGTTATAATGTATACATATATTTCAGTAATATAATTGTCCAGTAACACGCTAAATAAATCGTGATTTGTAACAAACTCTTTTAAATTGATGATAAATCAATTAAATTACATTAGATAAAATAACGAATAAAATAACGAAAAAATATTATTTTTATTATATGATCGCATTTTTTATTTTATTAACGTTAAATTCTTTTTTTCTATAATATACTTTAATATATGTTTGGCATTATTATGCAAAATATATTTGCCTGAAAAATAATGGAAAAATTATTCAAAAACAACATTACAAAATTAATTAGTTGAATTTTATGCATTATACATTTATATGCTTAGTAAAAGTTTATATTAACGGAATATATGGAACAGATGAATTTCTATCTGGACTAAATCTCATATTTACATTGTGTACTGTGTTTTTGCTGAATTATTTACAATCACGCGATCGAACTTTCGGAATTACGTCGGATGAGTAGGACTTTCGACTGAAGAACCGTGTCTGTTCATTTTCGCAAGACCTTTGTCCCGAATGCAATCTCGATCGACCTCACAATCTTTGATTGGCGTAAATGAATTGCTCTGGTGCGACAGTTACGAAATCGAGATATCTATAGTTTTAATCGCATGAACTATTCACCCTTTGCTCGCATAATACACGTTGTTGTTCCAGTTTTACTTATTTTTTTTTTAATGTGTACATAACATAAGAGAACTTAACGCGAGTTCCTTTTTGAAAATATAATTTATATATTAGAGTGTCTCGTAAGTTTTTGCCACCGCTTTTGTATAGATAGAGTGGACTAAACTGAGTCAAAAAGTTCTCTATCATTTTGCAATTTTCGCAATGGTTAACAAGATATTAATTACCAAAAGTCACTAAATATTGATTTTCAATAATTTTTTACTCAAATACTATCAACAGAAAAACAGCAAGAGACAAAAATTGTTTATTTTCTTCTCATAAAGTCCTGAGAATTTTTTCAGAATTTTTTAATACCGTATTTTCTCGTAATAGTAAAAATAAAAAATGCAGTATTAAAAAGTTAATAAAAAATTCTGAAAAAATTCTTAGAGCTCTATGAGAAGAAAATTAATGATTTTTGTCTTTTGCAGTTTTTCTGTAAAGTTGATAGTATTTGAATAAAAAATTATTGAAGATTAATATTCGGCAATTTTTAGTAATTAATATCTTGTTAACTATTGCGAAAATTGCTAAACAGAGGATTTTTCGACTCAATTTAGTGAGCTCTATCTACATAAAAGTGATTGGTAAAAACTTACGAGATATCCTGTATAATAATATCTGCATGCAGACTGTGCATTTATGCATGTTCTTTGTTAGAAATTAGAATTACAACCATTGATCTAGCAATAAATAAGATAAAACAATACAATTTTAACACACTAGTGATAAAATAGTTGAAAAATTCAATGTTGTATACTATATCTAATCTTCAATAACACTAATAATACACGCGTTTGTCAAAAAAAAAGAAATGTAATGTCTAAAATGTAATAAAAATTAAAATGAGATTTTTATCATGAAAAAATTGTTTAATTTAAGTATTAAATATCTAGCAATTCTTCAGCAAAATGATTTTTTCAAATATAATACGTTTCCGTGCGTTCATCTTTTTAATCTTATTTCAACATTAAATATTATTAAAATTTTAATACAAATATAAGTTCAAAATGTTTTGCTATGTCTGGTTTAGTAACATAATCTTCTTGTAGACTTCAATTGACATAAATCATGTTTCATCATATCCGTAGTATACTAAATGTTGTGGTCAATTTGCATTTGAAGATGACCTTACGATTTAATTAACGTCTCTGTTTGGAATATTAAATATTTAAAAAACAGCTTTAAATATTAAAATAAAAATATTCACAACACTTATTAGTGGTTATTATTCAATCTATAATAAGTACACAAATAAATAAATGAGAAATTAATTACTGCACGCTATAAATCATAATGGTAGAAGACTTAGAATTATCTGATCTGTTTTCTATATCTACAATATAATTACAGAATAGCAATTCAATTAGACGATAACGAACGATAGCTGACTTCATTTTCTCCAATTAACTTTTTAAGGTTTGAGTCGTAATCGAGGTTGTAATCGAGTTCCTATATGTGTCAACTGTCTCGTGTACCTGGTTGCTTCATACATGAGTACATAAAAAGCGAATGTAGAAAAACGTTTCACACTTTCACTTTTATCGATTGATTTTATCACGATTTTGTCATTGTGATTTCAAATGATAATCAGGTTTATCATTGATGTGCAATGCATTAATTATTGAAATATTGGAGGACATTCCACTTGTTAATGAGAAAATGGGGTATGTAAATGCATATATACACTGTAGGATATTTTTAAATCATATCTGTGCACTATGCTTTTAGAAACAACTAATTCATTATTTATATATGAACTTCAGCATAACAAGTGTTTTTATATAGTTATTTACAACAATATAAACAAATTATGTGAAATTAATGTATAACGAAATGAATAAAATACTTCTTCCCGAGAGGGATTTATTCATTGTATTGAGTGAATGCAAAAATTCGTGCCCGATTTATTATTCAAAGTTCAAACAGCTACAATTTTGTTAAAAATAAACGAAATTTAAATTTTTTTGAAAAAAGAATTTTAAAGCTTGAAATCTCTATCTTTGAATAGTTACTATATTTTTTGAATTTATGTGAATTTTATAATTTTTACACATAGAAAATTACGAGTTAAACAAAACGGGGATTTTTTTCTTTACTTTGTGGGCCTATCCAAAAAAATTTGTAATTTTTTAATATCTAATGTAAAAGCTTAAAATTCCCTATAAAATTCCGTTTTTAAAAAATGTCTCTATTTTTTTGTTATTGATTGTGAGTTGCTGTGAATTAAATAAAAATAATATATTGACTTCGATTGCTCATAATGCCATCAAAACTATCACAATTTAAAAAAACAGGTTCTTAAATTCTCTCATCAGATAGAGTAAGATTTAAATTTTGTTTTATTTTTAATAAAAATAGCAGCTGTTTGAATTTTGAATAATAAATTAGGCACGAATTTTTGCACTCATCTAATAGAATAAATACCGCAATAATTATATCTTTTTATTTTTTTTATAATGAAATTAAAATTCAATTGACTAACAATTATGTTTCTAACACGTATTAAGAACACAATTATGAATTACATACCTATTGAAGTGCATGAGATTATACATCAGAAATAAAGAGAAGTACATTTTTTTCCACGTAATTTTCTGTGATTTGTATGAATCGCAATTTGCGTTGGAGGAAAATATTTAATATATACTAATAATGGCTGAGAAGAGGGTAAATAAAAATAAATTATGCTACACATATAACTATAATTCATTGGCATCATTTCTTGGCAACTTCATAAGAACGATTATAACAAGAGTGGGTCAATATACGCTAGAGGTATATTGATTTCTCATGATAATGAGAACCTCGCCCAGAATCTATAATATCTAAAAGTTGATTTATCATCTTTATTTGTACTCCGAGGATATAAGATTATCCTAGAAAATATAATTTGTTAATAATATTAATTACTAAAGATCTGCTGTTGCTTCTTCTAAGTAATAAGTTAGAAAATATTTATGATTATGGCAATTAAAGAATAATTTACAAAATCAGAAAATGCAGAAAATAACGTAAAGAAGAAAGAGTCGGGAGATAATAAATTAGCATATCAAATGATTTACATACACACAACATGAAGCGCACGTGCTGTCTGCAGTTTCCACGATGCGTCAGTCGTGCGTACACGAAATACATTGAAGTGAAGGTCATCTTGTCAGATGAATAAAAATTGATAGTCTATGTTATATATTTGTTATCTATAATTATTTGTTATCTATAATTCATTCATTACAAAATATTGACTAATTCCATACCTTGTCTATCATGTCCAAACATTTCATTCCTCATGCATGATTCATAAGTACAAATACGTTTTCAGCTATAGTCTATGATAGACTAAATTAGTTCTCTAAAGGATTGAAATATTTTGAAATTATATTTAATGTAACAAAAAAATTAATAATTAAAAATTAATTTACAAAAAAACGTCAAGTTTTTTTTTTAATTAATATTTGTTTTCTATATCTAGTAGAATTTGAAACATTCAATTTATTTTTATTTTTACTTTACAAGCCAATCGGGCAAATCTAGCGCTAGAGATAGTAATGATAGTAATGTATCCGTGTATATACATATAACTTTGAAAAAATCAAATCAGAAAATTATTCAACTTTTTTCTTTTTATAAAAAAATAATTATTATAACATGTACTTCTTATAAGTTTTATATCTAATGACGGAAGGATATTATTGCAAATTACTTTCCTTTTGCGAATTTTTATCAAACATTATATCAATGACTTCTTAATATTTTTATTGCAAACACAAAAACTATTACATAAGGATGAAAACAGGTTATGCAAATCATTACACTGTCTGACTACACTGTGTATTATCATGTTTGTTTTTTTTAATGTTTGAATTCTTCAAGGATGATACATTTCGATCATTCAGGAAATATTCAAATTTAACAAACGCCTATTTTTGTTCTTGTGTGATAAGAACATTTCTTTGATACATATTTAATATTAAAGAACGCGATCTTTGACCCTGCATTAACATGACGAGCCGTTAAGAACTGTAAAGATTTAATCATTCTCCATCTAATTTACCATTCTCCATTATAATGCATCAGCTTTTATGACTTTGTACATATTAATGTTAATACGCACTTGTGCGAATGTGAGTGATATAACTCTTAGTAACGTAATCTTAAACATTTCTATCACGAAGAAAATTGTTTACTCTATATTGTACTCAATTTTTCAACTTAAGTTTACACTGAATAAAAATTTTTACTACATTTTAATAAATTTTTTAATAAATATTTGTAAGGAAAAAAACTTACAGCAAACATATGTTTACTCAATGAAAAAAATTATAGTTAAATTAAATTAATAGTTCTTGTAACAAATGTAGGTTAATAGGTTAGTAAATGTTTACTTAGTAAAAATAGTTAGTAAAAATTTTTTCAGTGTGGATTATATATTTTCACATACTATTATATTTGCAAATATACGATCTTCAAAATTAGAGTAAAGCTCACGAAAAACATATAATCAATGAACTACGAAACATATAAAAGCATATACTTGTGATGGTGTAATTGGTACAAAGGACAGATATCTTACGATATCATGAATAATACAGAAATACTGAAATTTTTTCTTTTAAATTCAAAACTTTAAGATTAATTTTTAATATATATAGAATTTTAAAATAGTTTTTATTTATATAAAATAATAAAATATTAATTCCTCTTCAGAATTCCTAAACTATCTTAATATCTAGATAGCATTTAATGATTTAACGAAATATTGAATATATTTTAATTGAATCTTATTTTTCCTGAATATTATTTTTCGTTATTTTATTACAATTACTAATTAAAAATATTGTGACAAAAATTATGTAAGCAAGTCGAAGACAGAGTAGATTTTATCACACATCCTTTACTGACGCGATGTCAGTGAAGTATTCACAAAATAAAAAGTCGCGTATAATTGGTCGAACAATTTTCTTTTTTCTCATTGCAAAACCATCAACGTCACACTTTTCCACATATTACGACACATAGTTTACTATTTGGAATACACTCAGGGTTCTCAATGAGATTATACTCCGGGTTCGATGAACCACTATCGAACAATCGACCAGGTACTAACAATGTGCCAGTCGAGGTAAAACGTAACAATGGATTCTGTCGATTTCAGTCAGTAATTCGTGTACTTACTGTGTTGCTCGCCAAGAACGAGATATAGCCTAGACTCGTCCGGCTGAAGTCTAAGCCGCACTGAACAGTCTCTCTGGCACACGCGCTCGACGTGTACAGAAATAGAGGCGATTGGCAGTCCAGACGAACCTGCGCTTTGCGTTGCGTCAGAATATCTGTTTAACAAGACGGTTGAGTGTACTGCTGCCATCTTTTGGAAATGTTTGTTAAAAGTTTTCCTAATATATTTATTTTTTTATTTATCAATTAAGTTAGATTTTCTTTTTTCACGTTTGTCTTTCTTTGAATGAAAGTACTTCCCATCACTTGAAAAACGCTACGAATTAATTCCAACACCTAATAAAATAAACATTTATGATCTGGAGAAGAGAAAAAAGAAAAATTTTAAGTAGAAAAAAGATGAACTCTGTTATGATTTGATTGGGGAAGACATAAAAACAAAGCGAGACATTTATTAAATCATTGTAATTAAAAGATCATTGCTAAAAAGATAATTCATTTTTTTCTCTAGTATTTTAATTATCCCGTTTGATTTTATAATATATAGTCTACTGATTCATTCTGTTATCTGAATATCTAAAAATAAAATTGCAATGTAAATTAAACAGTTTTAGGTAAATTCTTTAAAAAATTTTTAATTAAATTTTAAATTAATTGTTGCTGAAACTGTGCTTCAACGTGAACACTGTGAAAATTGTTTCTTAATATTTTATTTATTTGTATACACTTATAGGCCCTATTATTAGGCGTGAGCTAGTCCATTTCCAATTTCAATTAACAATTCAATTCTCAATAATAAACGGACCACGATCGGTAAGCCGCATCGTGATTGTCGAGACATACGTGTAGGATCAAAGCATCCGATAGGATTATGGCGGAGAGTTAGCACATATGTAAAGTTTGAATGAGTCGATTATCCTTCGCAGAAAATCACGTTTGATAGTTATTAATAGAAATATACTCGAATGTGAAACACATTATATATATATATAGTTCCTACTTCTAATAAATAGAATTCTCAGTTACTATTGTCGCGATAGTTATTCTAAAATTGTATGTTTATTTAAATGATGATTTTGTTTTAATTGATCCGCCATATCCTTAACAGACACTTCGAATATGCACTTACAATGTTTATAATATATATATACACGGAATTGTTTTGGCCTACCTAAGTTAACTAATGTAAATGCAATAACCGTGCAGCGCGGATCCAATATGGATCGTATATAATATTATAATTTAATACAATGTTCTTGTGATCTTATAAATAATCGTGTGCAAATAAATATATATATAATCACTTAATGATATATATATAATCATAATAATATCCTAGAAAATACATATCATTATGTTGATTCCTGAATCATACATTAAATAATTTTTTTTAAATGAAGCTCTGTTAAATTGGGCAATTATTTATGCACAGAAAATTACTTCTTCTTGAATCATTGAGACACAATCATTGATTATATAACCCTTCATTAATTTAATTTAAATTTAAGTATTTATACATATATTTTGCTTTTATAATTTATAAATTATTTAATATTTTGCGATTGTTCTTTTTCTAGTCTTTTAATCAATATTGACAAATTGAAGTTTCTCGATTTTGTGCGCTACACAGCTTTGTTTAAAATATGCGTGTATATATATATATACAATAGTCCATTACAGTTCCATCGTATTTATAATTTATATATATATATATATATATATTTATTTATTTATACATGTATATATACGTGGAAGTCAAAAATTAATAAAGTTAAAAAAATATAATCTTTAAAATAGAAACTATAACCGTCTTTCTCTTCAGCTACAGCGCTATTGTGTCATTTATGAAATTCTTACTTCTTTCGAAAACGCATCGAACATTATTTTTTTGTTGTATATATGCTCTACTAGTGCATACTGTGTTTGTCGACATGGAGTCCTCTTGATATCCGTCTCTCGAAAATCGCGCGGTTGATTTTGGAACGATTTTTCCTTTTCACTTTCATTTGTTTCACGCAATTTTCACGAAACGGCGAAGATCTCTGAAAATTATTAATTTGAGCGTTATATCTCTCATAAGTCCTCAAATGACTTTTCTAAAAACTGACCTATCACATTTAAGTAAATACATGACGAAAAAGTGTTCTTGTCTCTAACCTGTTGTGAGTTTATCGTATTCTATCTTCTCTTTTTAATTGTCCATTAAGTGCTTTATAAATAATTTCGCAAATTATGAACGTTCGAAAGTGCTTTGAATGAATGTCGCAGTCGCGTTTGAGTAAATACTATCAATTTAATATATGAAAATCAATTATCACAATGATAATTAATACATAGTTCAAATTTTGAATCTTTAAACGTTCTTCATAAACCGCAAAATTACATTTAGTTGAAATTAAATTCAACAGTCCATTGTTGTAATAAAAATGACATGTTCTTTTTAGTGTGCAGATGCTTCGTACAAAATGTTATAACGCCCATAGTCATATCAAGAAGTGTAGAACAAGAATTTCCAGATTCTAATTAAATTTAAATTTATATGTCATTAATTTAAAAGCATCTGCACACTAAAAAGAACATGTCATTTTTATTACAACAATGGACTGTTGAATTTAATTTCAACTAAATGTAATTTTGCGGTTTATGAAGACTATTGTTTTGAATCTTTAGTTACTTTTTAAATATCCCGTACAGATAATTACCGGATTCTCTCTATTCTCTTATCCATTCGCAATATAATAATTATAATTTATTAATTTACGATCTTTTACGGGTAGGGTCGCTTAACACATCGAATTAAATATAATTTTTTCATATTCGAAACTAATTTTACAAGTATACATATGTATCTTAGATGAAATATAGTAATATAGCAATAATAATAGGCTTCGAAATCGAAGATTAGTGAGTGCAATTATGCAATAGATTCTAATATACAAGATCGATAAATTAATATAATTTACAGATGTAAATAATTACTATTTACAACCATTAATAAAATATTCGTTATATAAGCAATTAATATTTACATGAATAAATAATAAATATCAAATATTAAGAGATTATTATAAATATTTGGTAATAAGATAGAGCGAAGTTACTTCTTAATTATAAAAAATAAACAAAAAATTTGTCAAAATTCTTACATGATATTGAATTAAATAATACGCATTGTGCTATAATTTTCTTTCGCTAATTATAGCGTAACGAGTGATTCTTTATTACAAAACGTGTATGCAATCTAAATGAACGTGATAATATATTTTATTGTACTTGAATTTCTGATAAATGTTTGTAAGTGATTTTATGATAACGATATAGAATTTCTCTTGAATTGTGCGAATAATTGCGATATATGAAACTAAATGAATTTTGTGAGATCTTAGTTATAAGATTATTTAACTACAATTATTTTTTTCTTGGCTAAAAAAAACGTTGAATAAACTTACGTAAGAATTATAATACTTACATATGATTATAATTAATACGGTTTTTCAGCACCAAACTATTTTCCAGTATCTATTTTTTAAATCGTATTTTTTAATTTAATGATAAGATAATCTAGATTTTTTTTATCTCAAATTTTGAGGAACGATTATTTATATAATACTTATTTTTTTTATATGTCACATTACTGATTGTTTTAAATAAATAAGCACAAATTTTGCATGAATAATTTAGAATATGATATTTCCTAGATATAATTATTTATTGATGCTTTATTATAAGACTTTGCAGATTTTAAAACAATTCAAAATAACTTTTTTAATTCATAGAATAATATTTAATTCTAATTGAATCTTCTACAAAATACAGAATATTGTAATTTATTGTTAGTGCAAGTGAATAAAATGAATAATTTATGCAGAGAATGTAAATTAAAAAAGAATATATATTATAGAATATCTGTAAGAATTAACACTAGATGATCATATGTATACATTTTCGCATAACAGTAAACGTTACTCTTGATTTGGATTATTTTCAATACACGTTGCGTTCAGATATAATAGTAAAAATTGCATAAAATATGAGATACTACAATGAAAAATACTATGATGGTTCTTATTACTTTTTGTTATGCTTCACACACATATTTTATGCGATTTTTACTATTGAATTTTAATACTGAGGTTGACCCATTTCGAGAGTCGAAATATTTATTGTTATATGAGAATAAATTTATGTACATACATAACCATTTAGTGTTGGCTTTTAAAGATATTTTAACGTAAGTTACACACTTCGGTGCGATATAATAGAACTGTAAGATAAATATTGTAAAGTATGGAATATAAAAGCTGGAAAGAGAGAGTGGGAATAGTATTGCACATAATAGAAATTATCTATCGTTGAAACGGATATAATAAACAGTAAATAAGTTGCAAGTTATAAGACGAACTTGTTATTGCCATTACATAATAAAAACATATTTTTTTCGACTTGCTTGCACAAGAGTTTTTCTTTATCGCGTAGTTATCGTAATGAATTTATCTTGTGCAGTTTACCTCGAATAAAGTAAAGTAGCAACATTGATTCTTGGAATCAATCTTGCGGAATGTTCTTGGCTGAAGCTCGAATAGTTGAGTCACAATATCATCCTAGATCCGCTTGACAGTATTTAAAAATTTATAGTTTTACATTAAAAGAAATAAAAATTATTTTGAATTTTGTCAAGCGCAATTATTGTCAAATATCAAATGACATAATTAAATGAAGAATTAATTAACAATTTTTTACAACGTATTATCGTATGGATAAATTAATATGTTTTTAAAGCAGTAAATTAATATGTTTTTATGGCGAAAAGTTTTAAAAAATATGAAATTATTTTTATCTCTTAAAATTATGTAAAAACGATGAAATATTATACAAGTTTGTAGCTTCTAAAGTTTCACTTAAAGATGTTAATATGTCCATTTAGACATATTGTATTTTTATAAGCACATGTACTTTTCTCATAACGACGTTAATGATTATAATGCATGCTCACGTTAATCTCAGTTTGAATACAATATCATTTATCTTTTTCTGATAATTTATACGAATTTGTATGTATCAGTTTCATGAAATGATTCGGTGTCCCGACTCT